TGAACGAGCGGTTGACTTCCTGATTCTATGAAACCGCTCCCTCAGAAACACGCAGTGGGCTCAGATTGGTTAGTTTGGGCCGGTGTGTTCTGATTGGCGAAACTGTCGCTCACGTTGTCCGGAAGGTTAACGCCCATTACCTTTACGGGCGAAACGTGCATGCCAAAGGTCCAACCATGTAAATAAAGGTGACGATACTATGGTCGATACTGCAGTATAAGTTTGAGGCAGAATCAGACAGAGAAAGCGGCGATAAAGAGAGTCAAGCAGAAACTCACACACTGCTCTTACTAAACGATTCTGAATGATAATTTGCTAAATGTTTTAACTTTATACACGTTTGTTTACACAATGCATCTGATTGGCAACAATAGCAACTGACTGGCTACTAACTTTATACTCAAACAGCGTTGGCATTAGTTTACATACTTGATCAAATCGAAAATAACGTCATAAAGCATATATATACATGATAAATACGTTTAAAACATTAGTACTTATACAAAATTCAGGTCCATAATGTTTGTACGCGTTTGTCGTAGACACAAAATAGCATAGCTAGTAGCCTATAGTGGCCATATAGCCAGCGCTGGCATTTGAAAAAAAAAAAAAATAATAAAAAAGGCTATGTCTAGAATTATACAGGCAAATACATTTAAAATGATTAAGTCTTAGCCTACTTACAGGTTGTGGGCCAACAACTGCTGCCTCTGGTTTTAAAGTTGGAACTGCTTCATGTTTTAGTAACAGTTTCTTGTTGAATCCAGTGTTGAATTCGTGGAAATTCTGGAAGCTGTCTTCCGTAAAATGCGCAGCACAGAGAGCTAGATTACGATCGTCACTTTCAGGAACATAATCAAACATAAATTGTATCCATTGTTGACGAAGTACAGCGTCTGTGGGAAGCTCAAACACAGAAGACCTGACAGCTGACAAACATAAAGTGTGTCCATTGTTGACAAAGAACAGCATCTGTGGGAAGCTCGAACACGAAGGCCACACACTCGACGAGCCGCTTAAATATGTGCATGCCCTTTTCTGCATATTCCGGAAGGAGGGCTGATGCAAATGTATGGGTTAGTGACGTGTAAAACCCAGCTGTAGTCCCAATCGAGTCGTTTACTTCCTGATTTTTAAAAGACGATATCTCTGCTTACACTGAACTTTCAGCGCTGCAACTTTACAGATACTGTTCATGCACCAACAGCAACATTACACACTATTTAAAATCAAAAAAGTTAAATCGCAGTCAACCCCCACTTTAATATAGTCACACAGCATAACTTCTAAGTATGCTGATGTTGAAATTCTAAAGCAGAGCTGTGAGATCTCAAAATCATTAGTCTCTTGTGTACACTACATTTAGCCAAATATTCTAAAACAAATCCATGTTAGCAAATCCCAGTATGGTAGAACTATAATTTCTACTAAGATTGCTTTATCAACAGTCTACGAATTTTCTCAACTTCTCAATAAGATAATTTAAACTAACTTGGTTACAAGAGAAAATATGGAATCTCTCTTTTCTTGCTCTTTAGATTATGTTGCTCTTTTGCACTTAAAGAAGAACAGTCAGAAACATTGGTAAAATGAGAACACTCACACCCTCAAGAGAGCAGCCTGGAAAATGGAGTGCATCTTGAAGAATAAAAAACTAGTATTTTACATTCTATGCAAGAATAGTGTTTCTAAAGCCTTTGTCTGCTTCCCCACTCTCTTAGAAGAAAACTAACACAAGCCAAGGTTTATTTTATTTATTTGATATTGTACAGAGGCTAAATTGACAAGAATTAAAGCATCAACAGTTTCAGACATTTCCCAACAGCACAGCAATAATGATTTATGATTATATATATATATATATATATATATATATATATATATATATATATATATATATATAATCATTCCAGTTTAGAATGCAGTGCCACAAGGCTCAGTATTAGGACAGTTGCTATAAAAACTGGATGACTAGCTTCCACTGATGTTTTTAGAAAAAAAAACTGAGGTTTCAATTATTGGACGGACCAAAAACCTCCACAAGTAATAACCTAGAATACTGTCTTTTTAAAAAATGTTCTGTCAAGAACCAGGGTGTGATATTTGACATGAATCTGTCATTTGAAATCCACATTTTTGACATTTGTAAAGCCATATTATTCATCTTAAAAATATCTGGAAATTGCGATACATTCATGCATCTATGACATCAATTCATGCATCTATGACTTTAAGGAAAGATTATTGTATTGCATTTCTGGGTGGATGCCCAGCAGGTTTATTAAAGGGATAGTTCACCCAAAAATTAAAATTAAGTCATTAATTACTCACCCCATGCTGTACCAACCCGTAAGACCTTTGTTCATCTTCGGAACACAAATGAAGATATTTTTGATTAAATTTGAGAGCTGTATCACTACCACATAGGCTCCCTAAGGGATTGAAACTTGATGGCCCAGAAAGTCATTGAAGAAAATGTTTAAATATTCCATGTGACTACAGTGGCTCAACTATAAGTTTATCAAGCGACGAGAATACTTTTTGTGTGAAAAAAAACAACAAAAATAATGACTTTATTTGACTATTCCTTTTCTTCCTTCTGGGCCTGAGATGAGAGTTCAAGAGATTTCCACGACGCTTGCGCGAGAACTGAACAAGAAGTATTAGAAAAATATGGAATATTTAAACATTTTCTTCGATAACTTTCTGGGCATGAAAAACTTTCTGGATATGAAAAATATCTTCATTTGTGTTCCGAAAATGAACGAAGGTCTTACGTGGTTGGTACAGCATGGGGGTGAGTAATTAATGACTTAATTTTCATTTTTGGGTGAACTAACCCTTTAAACAAACCGGTCCAAAATGTAGCTGCTAAAGTGTTTACTAGAACCAAGATGTATGACTATATTCACCCGGTTCTGTCAACAAGGCATTGCCTGCCATGTAAGCATTATATACAATTTAAAAACTTGCTAATTACTCATAAAGCCCAAAATGGTTTTGCTCCTCAGTACTCAAGCAAGATCGTATCGCATTTCTGTCCTTTCTAGTTGTTTAAGACTGTGACCGTAACACAGTCTTAAACAACTAGAAAGATAATTGTGCAAATGGTCATGGATAAGTCAAATTGTCTACTGCCGGCTAAACAGCAGCTCTAACTTCATTTTTAAATTTGATGGACAGACTACAACTCTACTATTATCTCGCATAATTACGTTTATTGGCCTATTCCAAACTTCATGTGAAGTTAGTTGGATGCAACGTTTTACATATTGGTCCACAAAGTCTGACTTGTGAAACAGCCTAGAATCATAAATTACACCATGTTCGCATGTTCGTTCATTTAGGCCAATGGAGAACTCGCCCCCTGGCCGAACTTCTCACAAGATTTTGGTGTTTTGGGGATGGTGTTTCAGTTCCTTTCCCCAGTAACCTTTGGCTTCATATGACGGGGTTTAAAAGGAAATTTATTGTTTATTTTTTGTTTCATAATTGATCAATTTTACAGCTTACACAGTTATGGAACTGAATTAAATCAGCATTGAACTAAACTGAGCTGAATAATGACTTTAAATAAATGTGACATGAAAATCCTTTGCACACATTCCTAAGCTACTGAGCTACTCCAGTTTCATTAAGAAATGCAAGACCAAAACAACATTTCAGAGCATATGTGTTCTTTTGATTTGTTGTAAATTATTCGCATCATGCTAAATGGTTTTCCAGACCGTTTTTGGTCCATGTATCTTTTGGTCATTTGATTTCCTGTTTGGAATGGAATAACGAGAAATGAAAACCAGCTGGTTCATTCGTTTTTTTTTTTTTTTTTAGTTTAAAAAAAGATAAATTAGATTTTGACTCAATTTTTAATTTTTAGTTTGTGGTTTACAAATCGGTTTATGGATTTGATATTTCATTTAAAAATATGATATTCCATGATAAAATATATCCGTAACATTAGATGTCCGTAGATGACCTTCCCATAACAATTACATTAAAGTTAGTGATAACACAATTTGTACAGTGTAAAAATCATTATGTCTAAAGTTCCAATAAAACATGAAAACCCAACAACCCAATGGGAATATATCCTTGTTGTGTACAACACCTGTTCATAATCTGTGATTACACAATTCCAATACAAATAGCACCAGCAGGGGTCTGGAAGGACCGTGCAAGGATCAATCCGGATTTTTAAGACAGCTACTGTAATTTGACAGTAAGCTAATATTCAGAATATCCTTCTTGTGTAACGCACAAATGGGCTTCCTTTGTGAAATATAGCAGACTAACTGTTATTTAAGATACATACAGATGGGTGGATGGATGGACGGACGGAGACATACTACCATGTATAAAAGAAAACAAAGTGACTGAACTATCTTTGCATTGTAGAACACAGCGTCTTCTCGACATGATGCTATGATGAAGTATTTGAATGTGTAGACTTCAAGTTTACACTTCCGCCTGCACGCGCAGCAACTGGGCGCGGCCAGTATGTATCTACGTCACTACGAACCAGCTAATGACTCGTTTCAAAAACAATTCATTTCATAGACTCAGAGTCGACTCTCACTTTTGAAAGACAATAACTTTATATACGGTGCACTTTCAGATATAAATCTTTGCAGGATGTTTCCCTTAGAGCTATATTTCACACCATATGAACAGTCATTTTCAAAAATCCATGATAGGGGCTCTTTAAAGGGCATTTGTCAGTGCTGCACTCATGACTCTTATTCTGCCTGACAGAAAGAAAAGCTCGTACTGAAGGCGGAACGGTTTGACCAATTAGATGAAAGGGGCGTTTTTAGTGCCGCCTACGTGTGCAAATGAAATATCAAAACCATAAACCGAGTTGTAAAACACAAACAAAAAATGAAAAAAATGGAGCCAAAATCAAATTTTTCGTTTTTTAAACTAAACAAAAAAACGAATAAACCAGCTGGTTTTCATTTCTCGTTATTCCATTCCAAACAGGAAATCAAATGACCAAAAGATACACGGACCGTTTTTATTCAGTGTATCGCATTAACATAAAGTCGGATGATATAAAGAGTTTTAGTGTAAATATTTTACCCAGATTAACTTTAATAGCATTCTCATGCTTTGAATGGAGGGACAGAAACATTTATGGCACAGTCCATGTGATGTAATTTGCATCATCAGCAGGGTCCGCCCCACAGACATCCATGTGCAGCCCAATTCTTTGGATTGTGGACGGAGCGTGTACAACATATGCAAGTGACTTGAGCACTTGAAAACAGAACCCACTTGATCGTGCACATGCGCTGAACATGTCTTTCCATGCTCATGGCCAAAGGAGTATTGAAAGGCTTGCATACTCAACTGTGCAAAGGACGGAGTGCGGAAAATGAAGTATACCCAGGCCTTTACTAGTCTGTCTCATTCCAACATTTAATGCTGAGAATGACTCTAATCTAGCACTGCGATTGAGAAAAACCCTTTGTATTTATTTGCTATGACCAAAGGGGACAGGTGGACCCAAATATAGGCATGTCAGAGCCACTGGATCACCAGATTTTCCTTTAATTTTTCACCCACTCTGTATTTTAAGTCAGTATATGATGTTTAATATTGGTATAACTTTAACAACTTTGACTTTTATCACTTTTCTTGCATAGTCGACACATCAGACTGTGTATGTCAGTGGATGGTCTTCGTAGCAGTAGTTGACAACTCCTCCCTCATAAGACACATCTTCATCCTTTTCTCCATCCTCCCAACAGTGGCTATGCACATGTATTTCAGTGTCTCTACTGTTTCTCTGTTGTCTTATAAGTTTCTTGCTGTTGCTGTTTCTCACTGATGCTTCAAGAGCTTTTTGTTTGCGGTAAAAATGTGAAAACTTGTTGAAAATTATGGTGATGGGTAGTGACACAACTAATGTGCCGCTCAGGATGCAGCCAGATGCTGCCAGCTTTCCAGCCACTGTCACTGGAACCACATCTCCATATCCCACTGTTGTCATACTAACTGTCCCCCACCACCAGCAAGCTGGAATTGTGTCCAAACCAACATCTTCCTCATATTCTGCAGTGTAAGCAATTCCGGAAAACACCGATACACCCACTGCCAGGTACAGTAATAAGATTCCAACCTCTCTGTAGCTGTGCTACACAAAGAAACAAAGACATGACATTTTTACATGTGACATGTAGGTAGAAAAAGCTTTAAAGCACTTATATACTGAGTTGGCAAAATGGAGTATTCTTAATGTTCAAAATTAATAAAAAATTTTAAAAAGGTGATAGAATTATAAAGTAGGGGGAATTTTTTTAGGGTATGGTATCATGGAAAAATTGTGTTAAATATATGACATAATCAAAACAATTACAGTCAGTACTATATAAAATGCCAGTGGTTTTCAATTCTGATCCTGGAGACCCACAGCACGGCACAGTTTTTATGTCTCCCTTTATGTAACACACCTGATTCATATTTTCAGCTCATTAAAGGGTCACTTCACCCATTTGCATTAAGCTTTGTATCTTTAGAAACCCAGTTATATTTTTGAATGGTCATGGTTTATTCCCTTATTTTCCCCCGAGATGGGAGAAATAAGGATTTAAGTGTTTTATTTCCTGCTTATCGTGACGTAAAAATCGTCATTTTGCGTCACGATAAGCAGGAAGTCACATTTCAATGAAATGTCAACAGACTACAATGATTAGCTCATTATTATTCAAGGGTGTGGCACCCACTCACCCACAGGCCTATTACAGATCAGTGGGTGGGACTTCACTTGCAGAAACTGAAATCAAGATCCGCCATCTTGTTTGGAAGCTAAGCTAACAAGCCCTGTGGAGATATGAAGTTATGATAATGGAAGAAACTAAACATGATATGGAAGAAGAGGGTTTTGAAAGTCTGCTGCTCGAATCGGATGTTCGTGGCTATCTTTACGAGCTGCATTATACTGTAGTTTAGAGCAGCTGAGGCTGATGGAGGAGCAGGAGACGCCTGGCTGTCGGTCGAGACGCCGGGACTGGATCGAGCTCGGCGGCCTGCTGTTGCTTGTACTCTCGCTGCGTGTCACGGCCTACGGACACAGAGTCCGTCTGCTGCAGAGAATTTCAACGATGGTAATTTCTCCTGGAGGAAATCTCTGAATCAGACGAGCACACGGACGTATGTGTTGTGATAGTTTCGCCTTCAGAACATCCAGGTACGTATCATGCAGTAATTCACCATACAGAAATAAATACAAACGCGGAGTAATTCACTAACGTTAATGTGTTTACAAATGTAACGTGAACGGGGTTTAATGTTGTGGGAAAAAAGAGGCATGAACCGGCGAACATTTAAACATTTTAATAGTAAAATGAACAAATACAAAACGAAAGTAAGCCAGCGTTACACACAACAGAAACAAAACATAAAATCAGGCCTGTTTCTCTCTCGATCTGCCGTCGTCGCTCCCCATTTTATGCATTCGCTCCTTCTATTCGTGAGAGACGCACCGGCGCGCGCCGTTACAGGTGTCTTTCATTATCACTCACGCGCCGTCCTCTTACATCCCTCGCCCTCGATTGTCCTGCTCGCCACAGCCAACTAACTAGACATTTTGTTTGAAATGAATTTTAAACTCTTACTCTGGTAACAGCTAATGTTTGCGTTGTAGACGGAAGAGTGTGTTTGCGTCTCTGTTTGCGCTGTTCCGGTGGGTGGGTTAGTGGGTGTGTCTTGCGGAGCTGTGCAATGTTGGGGAATTCTGGGAACTGTAGTTTTTTAACACAAAGGCGCCCCTTGGTTATTTTCTGTCTTTTCTCAGTCAAGAGGGCACCAAATTAAAAAATGATTTTACATTTCGACTACATATATGATCCACTTTCAATAAAGATTAATGTTGCAATGGGTGAAATGCTCCTTTAAGAGAGAGGTCCATAAACTGAACAGATACTGCATTCGAATTCACCTACACATACACTCTAAAAAATGCTGGGTTGTTTTAACCCAATTTTGGGTCAAATATGGACAAACCCGAAATGTTGGGTTAAAAATGTAATGTAAAAATTTAACCCAACGGCTGGGTTAGTCCATATTTGACCCAAAGTTGGGTTAAAACAACCCAGCATTTTTTAGAGTGTACTTTGCACTAAAAGTATTTACTCTTTTTTGAGGAAAAAGTACATACCTTTGTGTAGCAGAAACGTTTTGAGACATACTACCATGTAAGAAAATTGTGTCTTGTGACATTATATGCCAATAGGGGATTATCACGCTGATACGTAGTACTTCCGGATCCTGTGATCTTTGTGCACTGCCACTTCCGTTGAATCACCGATCTCGCTGGCGAACTGATGAAGGACTACACTAAGTTTATTTATACGTCATCCCTGGTAAATTAGTCTGATTCACTAAAGTGCCGGCTGCAAACAAACGTGCTACCTCGTTTTATTTTAAAGTTTTATCCACTTCTTCCTTATACTCAATTCAGTCGGGAATCCATGAAAACTTAAGTAGGGTTGGTGTTGTTGGTTAGATTTACAAAGTGGAACAGAGCAGTGACATAAATAGCACTCGTCTCAGGCATTGTTGAACTGCGTCGGAAGTGGACATGCACAAAGTTGACAAATCCCGCCCATGAAACCCGGAAGCGGATAATCTCATATTTGTCACATAACGTCACAAGCATCATGTCACCATAAACTGGCTTGTCTCATTTAACGTCTAAAATACAATTCTTCTTTCAAAGTTCACAATGTTGTTGCAGGTGAAATATAATTTGAATAATAAATGGAAAAGGTGTGACTGCAGTCTAAGTGGAAGTGAGGGGGTAAGCATGTATGGTAAATGCCTCAGGGGGTACACAACTCTAAAAGGTTTGGGAACCATAGTAATCGACCATGCTTTGGGACATGCTTATTGTAATCTTGCATACTTTTTAGGATGCACATTGCACAGTGACAGATACTATTTATGGTGGATTATAAGCTAATAGGGAACCATGGTGATTTTTTCAGATAAGAGATACATACAAAATGTAGACTGGCTTGAATCTCCCTCCAGGTCCAGGATTAAACACCACTACAACAGAGGTCTTCAACCAAAATCCTGGGGACAAAGTTTATTTCCAACCTGCTTCAGCACACCTCACTGTATATTTCAAGCGATCCTGGAGAGCTTGATTAGGTGCTTCTGTTAGAGCTATTAAGAGTTAGAGCTAAACCCTAAAGGGCAGTGGGTCCCCAAGAGCAGGGTTGAAGACCTCTGCACTACAATATGCAGATTGTAAATACACTTGCACAATAGCAGTGTAATCTCACCCGTAGAGTAGCACCTAGTGACCTTAAGCCCGTTGAATGCCTAGCCAACTTTAGCACCCTGAAGATTCTCATCAGCCGCAACACCTGGACCAGTTTTCCCAAGTTGCCCAGCTCTGACTCACTCCCAATGACCAGATCAAAAAAGATTGTGATGTATATTGGCATCACTGAGATGATATCAATCACGTTTAGTGGTAGCAAGAAGAATTTGCGATGGTTTGGAGCAAGAAGCATGCGAGTTACTACCTCAAAGGTAAACCAGCAAATGCAGAACACTTCTAATATATGCCTTGTTGGGTCTTCAGTTGGATTACCACTTTCATCAAATTTTTGGTATTCTGGAATGCTATTGATACACATGGTGGTAATTGAAATTAAAACCACACAAATGGAAAGCAAGCTGAAAACTTTGCTTGGGATTGAATAACCTGGATTTTCCAATGTTAGCCACAGACATTTCCGAATGTTTCCAAAACGTATTTCATGGAAGTGTTCAATATCTTTGTTCAGATCAGAAATCTCATCAACTGATGTATCCACACTGCTAACATCACTCTCTTCATCCCAGGATGTACGATGTCTCTTCAGTTTACGATCAAGGTAACGGTAACTACAGCAGCTGTCCAGAAAAAAATCACTGATTCCCCAGTATTCTATTTCCTGAGAGAAGGAGAAAATGCACAGCTCATCCATAATATGCAGCTTGCCAGTCTGATAGAAGTGCAGGACATAAGGGAAGAGACCAGGGTTACGGTCAAAGTAAAACTCTTTCTGTTGAACATCAAAGTCATCACAAAGCTGTAGAATGTCATCCTCTGAGTCACAAGACAAGAGTTGACCAAGACGTGTGTCCGGAAACTTCTTCAGAATGCTTGAGCATAGAGTGTGCCTCAACCCACCTACATTGATGTGTAAAAGGTTGTCCTTAGGATCCAAAATCCACCAAGGATGTCTTTCCTTCAACATGGTCTACCTACACACTGTAATGGAAAAGAGTAAATTTGTTTTAGTATGGCTGGAAAAAATAACAGGTTTAGTTTGGTGAATCATTTTACGTGTCAAAAATAATTCATGAAATTAATGTTTTGTTTTGTTTTTCACTTCCTGAGGTTGAGAGGTGTTGTTCTCGTGTTATTTGCATACTGTTTGGCTCCACAAAGAAAATCCTGTGATGTGTGATGCAGTTCTCAACTTATTCTTTGAATAACAATTCTTAACTTTCAATTTTTGTAACTCTATATATTTTATTTTTCATCCTTTTTTATTTAAAAATAATTTATATTATTTAAATGTTTTTATTGGTGCTGTCAATCGAATGAAAGTTGATCGCAAGTTAATCACAGTCAGGGGCTTTAATCGCAGATTAATCGCAAATTTAAAATATTGGGATTTACTTAACCTGCAGTGTTGAAATAAATAAATGCACGACAAACTGCTTTAAGGAAACAGATTCTTCAGCTGTATTACCTCAATCATTAACATTTAACAAGTGTTCAATAACAATCTCTTAATTTGTTGAGGCATCCATATGAACTGCAGACATATTTAGCATAAACCAACAACTGTTACAAAGTAATGTTAAAGAATTTCCCCTTGGGGATTAATAAAGTATTACTGAACTGAACTGAACTGTCTGCTACAAATTCACAAATATCTTAACTGTAGAAAAATAACATCAACTCAAATGAATGCAAGTGGATGCAAGAATGTAAGTGGGCCTATTTTATATATGGAATGTCATAATGCCTGTGAAGAGTCAGAGTGAACAGTCTCTGCATTCTTGATTAAAGGGACACTTCAGCCATTTGCATTAAGCTTTGTATCTTTAGAAAGAAACCCAGTCATTTTTGAATGGTCATGGTTTATTCCCTTATTTTCCCCTGAGATGGAAGAAATTAGGATTTAAGTGTTTTACTTCCTGCTTATTATGATGTAAAAATTGTCATTTTGCGCCATAATAAGCAGGAAGTCACATTTCATTGAAATGACAGAGACTATAAACTAATGGTGCGTTCTATTATAGCCAACGAACCGACTTCAAGCGTTCTATTTGTTTAACGCGTCTGAGTCGGAGAAAAAAATGGACGCCACCCGGAAAGCTGTTATAATGGTAGCGCTGGCCGAGTAGCAGGCACTTACATTAAAACGAAAAAATATTATGACTACACCTTATTAAAACGCAGCCATTTGAACTTGAAAATGTTCACTTTATTAATGTTTTTCATGTTAATCTTCTGTTAGCAACGCTAGCAACGTCAGTAATTGCACTCACAACAACCGATTCCCATACCTACAGGGGACGCAGTAATACGAGTGATTATAACCGTCATTTAAAATACCAAAGCGGTTCAAAAACAATGAAAACAATTCATTCTTACAAGTCACAGGGCGCAGCCATCTTGAATTCCGAAACGGAATTCTCTCTCGGTGTCCTCACGGTTGTCCGACGTCCGAGAGGAGAAATCCGAGGAAAGGGGGCGTGTTGCTAGGCAACGTCTGTCGTCCGATTCGGATCTCCGAGACGGATGAATAATAGAACGCACCATTAGCTCCTCATTATTCAAGGGTGTGGGACCCACTCACGCTACAGGCCAATTACAGAATAGATCAGTGGGTGGGACTTCATTTGCAGAAACTGAAATCAATATCCGCCATCTTGTTTTTGGAAGCTAAACTAACAAGCGCTGTGGAGATAGGAATTATGACAATGAAAGAAGAAACTAAACATGATATGGAAGAAGAGGATTTTGAAAGTCTGCTGCTCGAATCCGATGTTCGTGGCTATCTTTACGAGCCGCAGTATAGTGAAGATCAGCTGAGGCTGATGGAGGGCCCGGACTGGGTCGAGCTGAGGCAGCTTGCTTTGCTTGTGCTCTCGCTGCGTGCTACAGCCTACAATACGGACACAGCAAGTGTCCATCTGCTGCCGAGAATTTCAGCAATGGCAATTTCTCCATGACGAAATCTCTGAATCAGACAAGCACACGGACGTTTGTGTTGTGATGTGATCATAGTTTCGCCTGACTGAACAGGTATTATGCAGTAATACACCATATTTAGAAAGAAATACAAACAAGGAGTAATTCACTAATGAGTTTGCCAATATAACGTTAAAAGGGTTTGTTGTTGTGGGAAGGAGGAGGCAGGAATCGGCGAACTTTTAAACATTTTAATAGTAAAATTAACAAATACAAAAGGAAAGTATAAGCCAACAGTCCCTCATTGACAACTGATGTCCACACACAACATAAAATCAGGCCGGTTTCTCTCTCGATCTGCCGTTTATGTTCCTGCTCCTCTGTGAGAGATACGAGACCGGTCGGTACGTCTTGTCTTTCATTATCACTCATGCCACCGGCCTCGCGCCGCTCTCACGTCCATTGTCCTGCTCGCCACAGCCAACTAACTTGAAATTTTGCGTGAAATTAATTACAAACTCTGGTGGCAGCTAATGTTAGCCTTGTTGACGAAAGAATGATTTCTCTGATGTGCGAGCAGTTCCAGATTAGTGGGTGTGGCTTGCGGAACTGTGCAAGTGGTGCATTGGCTGTCGTTGTCGTCTTCTTTGGTAGTTCTGGCTCCACTTCTTCTCCAGAGGTCTGTGGTGCTGGTTTTGCCACACCTCTCTCCTCTCTCTTCTGGGCAATAACTTAAGATCCTTGAACCTAGGATCTAGAGCGATTGCTACCTTTAACCACCACAGGTTTGAGTTACTCTTTCGCCAGTTGAGGTCCACCCACTTTTCACTGCACAGGTCCGCCCACAACACAGGCCCACCATGCCATTTTCCATGTCCTGCCATTTCCATGCCATTTTCCATGTCCATTTTCCAATTCCATATTCCCCTGCATGGACCTGTCCCTCCATCTCTCCCCCAAGACTACCCCCGCTCAACCACCCTCCTGAACTTTTGATGTCTTGTATTTGGTTTTATGTTGGGCGTCAGGAGCCGAGGGATATGTCACGTCTTTTTTTGGTTCATGTTTCATGTCAGTCATGTTTCATGTGTTGTCATGTGATTCCCTGTGTTAGTCATGTGATCCTGCTATGTGTTCCCCATGTTATGTTGTCATTGGTTCATTGTTTCATTGTAAACATGAGTTCCTGTGTCTTATCATTAGTCTATATTTAAGCCCTCATGTTTGCCTTGTTACTTTGTGGAGGATCCATTTGCAGCATTTTTTAGAATAATCAAAACAGGCAGGGTCCAACAGTGGCAAACAGAACATAGAAGGCAAGGCTGAGACAAACCAGGCAAACCAGAGTTGAGGCAGGCAGAAAGGCACGCGTTGTGGCCAAGACCGGTCTCGACTACTACAACACTATCGAATACTGTAAAGATTCTGTCAGTTAAGAGGAGACCGTCTAAGCCCACTAATCCAGTGTTGCCTGGGATCCACTTCTGTTGAAAGTCCAGTCACTGATTCTGTTCCGAGCATTCCATCTGAATACCGGGAGTTTCAGGACGTGTTCAGTAAACAGGTGGCCACCACACTTCCGCCTCATCGACCTTGGGATTGCGCCATGGAGTTACTACCTGGGGCTGCCCTACTGCGAGGGAAAATTTATCCCTTGTCCATTCCAGAACATAAGGCCATGGAGGAGTATGTGGAGGAGGCTTTACAACAGGGGTATCGTCAGTGTCTGACTCTGATCTGTCTGCTGGGCCATGCCATGTGTGATACAGCAGGACCGGAAAGAGTAATGATTAATTCATCTCTCGAGTTCAAGTTCGGCCGGGTCCGAGTCTTTTGTTCTTCCTCTCAGTGCCATAGAGACTATGCTATCAGTACCGGAAAAAGAAATGATTAGTTCATTTTATTCAAGTCTTCGGATTTGAGTCCTTCGTACGTGACGTGACCGCTGGTATCTCGCATCAAATACAACAGTGAGATACGTATTAATGACTGCATCTGAATGTATATTGTTTTATATTTAGGAATTAATATACAAAATATGTGTAATTAACATTATCTGAAAAATAAAAGTTCCATCTTATTATTGTCCCTGGCCATCTCTTTTCAATATTTTGCATCTGTGGTGTGTTTTATTATATATTATACAAATAAATAACTACTATTATATTATACATTATCTACATGCTTGTTTGTAAAAAGTTTATGAGTATGCTATTCAATACGGTGACAATTCATGTGACAAAAGAACGAAGGACTCAAACCCAAAGACTTGAGAGATGAACTAATCATTTCTCTTTCCGGTACTGCCATGACAGAAAGAACAAAAGACTCGGATCCGGCCGAACCTGAACTCTAGACTCAAGAGATGAACTAATCATTTCTCTTTCCGGTATTGCCAGCATAGTCTCTATGGGACTGACAGGAAGAACGAAAGACTAGGACCCGCCCGAACCCGAAGACTCAAGAGATGAACTAATCATCTGTTTCCAGTACAAATTCAGAACCCATATGCTGCGCAATGCGCATGCGCGGTTAACACAAAATGAACGAATCACTCTCTGAGACAACTTGGTAGTCCCGAGTCTTATTAAAGATTCGTTCAAAATAAACAAACCACTCATGAACGACACATCACTATCCATGTCTCCTTGTTAAAGCCTTACATAGCACCCCTTTCACCTTGGCCCATAGAACGCCCCCTCCTCCTCCAGTGGACCCCTCAGAGTACATGGCATACCAGGTTTGCAATCTCCTAGACTCCCGTCGTCCTATCTCGTTCAGACGGCGATAATACACTCGCGTTTCGGAGTCGGGATAGACGGAATTGTCATTTGCATGGGCCAGCATTGCATCATGAGTAACTACAGTTTACCATTTGCACGTCTTAAGTCTTACCAGTTTAAACATTCACACGATCTTGAACTGTCCGGTAGGCTACTTGCGTGCTGTCTGAGAGTTGTTTTTTTATGCACACATACAAACCACCTCACAAGCTCGTGGGTAACAACAGTTATTTTTCGTGGATTATATCACTTTAACAGTCAAAAACATGGGAAAATTATGTCAATTTCGGTCTTGGTGAGTATCCACTAAACACAGTCGGTTATGTCTTAAATAAGCATTCATTGCACGTGGCCGTATAATGTTAGTGGCTACAGGATCTGTGCATGAGCTCTTACAGTGACAGCAGCCATGGTCTGTCATTAATTTGGTTGTCAAAACAACAAAACACAGCTTTCATTTTAAGGAATCAAGATTAATATCCTGTATTTTAATTTAGTTCTCAGGACTAAAACATTACCCAGTGTTATTTTACAGTTGATTACTTTATTCAGTCTCTGTAGTACTATTTCTGAATAGGCCTACTGGTTTCAGACCTAAGCAAAAACTTTTCTCTTAGTACCTAAAGATAGGTATCTTTATTCTATTGTACTTTTGTGCTACTTTTTTCAATTTAATTCAAAGATTGAAATTAAGCTTCCCTGTGTTGCATAAATTCTTAAGAACAAAATTACCCCATTGTAAAAATGCAATGAGTGAGAAAATGCAATGAGTGAGCATACATTTTAGCAGATAAATGTAATTAAAAAAAGTCTAAACTCCCCCCTCAGTTTATGATTTGTTTTGTGCCTTTAAACATGCTTCAGTCCAATTCAAATTCCTCTATTTCTTCTTGAATGTCTTTCCTCTATGCGTTTAATTTGTCTACAGCAGACTCTTTAGAGTTAAACATTATTAAATTATAATATTTTGACAATTGGTCCTTTTCACTTCTTTTTCCAATTATTTCCTCTATTAATGACAGTTTGTGAATGTACATAATATCTATAGACCTGGAAGACATAAAACTTTTAAGCTGAATATTTAAAAAAAAAATGTTTTGAGGGAATCTGGTGTTTATCACACAATTCTTGAAATGTAAGAAGTATTCCATCCATATCCAAGTATTTAATACCTTTACTAATAATACTAATACCTTTAGTTTTCCATAGTTTAAATCCTCCATCCTTATATTTATTGTTAGACAAGTTTCTAAATGGTCTTGATGAATGTGAAGGGGTCATGTTTGCCTTCTTGTTCTATAGTGTTGTAATTTCTTATAAATTACAACATTTATAAATGTTGTAAGCTATTGCATTTTGCAGAAAATCTTAAATAAATGTGTTGATTAAATGTAAACAGAGCAATAAGATAAACTTATTTGCTCTGTTTACATAGTTTCACCTATTGGTTATTTACTGGTACTACTGCCTTAACAATGACTGCCTTAACAATCCCATGGATAAGATGAGGATAATTTAATAGCATTTAATAGAGCCGTGTAATGATGTATGAGGGGAGGGGGGTGTCTCAAAAAAAAGGTAAAATATGAAAAAAAAATGTAAAAAGGTCTCAGCAGGGATACAGTTAACAATTAGCATAGAAGACAGTGATTTCTAGAATTAACTCTAATTAAAAATAAATAAACCGTGGGTGTTTTTAATGTTATCAAGTGGGCATCAGAAGTAGCCTGACGCTTCTCAATCAACAAACATTCTGTTGTTCCTTTATGAAATTTGATGTTGTAAAAAGTGCATTCGCAGAAGTAGAAAATAATACTTAGCCTAAAGACTAAATTATAGCCAACATACAAAGGTACTCATAATAAATAATTATGATGATAATATAATGAATATGAAATTCCAAAGTCCATTCAAGTGAGGCTAAAAATGAATATGATAGCTTACATTATTAAATCAATATCAACTTATGCCTCGGGATGTCACATTAGTGCATTTTATTTGTTCTGTCATCCTTTATTCTGAAACATTTAGGCTTTTTAAGAAGTCTTGATGATTGTGGCGGCCAAATTGATGGTCATAACTTGTAAATTAAATAAAATACAAATACCTTGGTCATAAATTTTAATATATATGTGTGTGTGTGTGTGTGTGTGTGTAGCTACAGATATTTGTTAATGTGTTTTTTGTTTTTTTGTTTGTTTGTTCGTTTGTTTGTTTTTTTGTTTTGTTTTTGGATTTGTTGACTAAAAGTTTTAGGTTGTATTTTGAAATAAAAATATTTCGGGATGCCCCCCTCATTAAAACACACACATTAGCCTACCGAACAGTGCAACTGCCAGTGGTCTAACTAAGGATAGCCTATTTAAATAAATTATATATTTTCAAAAGACTGTTAAACTCAGGAACCCTCAAAAGTAAATTCTGACCTTACGTCCATGAAACAATTAGCTATACCGCCCAAATAGGACGTCACGGTACACACGCTCACAACAACCTTTATAGCCATATCAAAAGTAAAAAGTATTTGGCCTTATAGGCTACGTTTGCTTGCAAGCACTGTATTAAATTGTAAGCGTATCAAAGGCTAACAGTTGTTCTTAAGAAACTGTGTATCGCTATGCCTTTAAACACACACATCGTTCAGATTTCATTCATTTTGTTCTTTCTGGCATTGTGCGCTTCTCTTTAACCTTGTAATGCACATCGATCTTAAGCTGTTGATATGTATTGATAGAACAGTGAAACCAAAAACATCACATTTAAAGCAAGTGTTATATCTGCTTTTAATTAATTTAGTCTTCCTAAATATCAGCATAGGTTATATAATTAAAAAGGAAACCTACCACAGATGTTACTGTTTGTTCTCCACTTGTTTTCTTTTCATGTGATTATTCGTTTGTTTACGCGCTGATCACGTGTGCAAGATGCCAAAAAGTATCAATCCAGTGATCTACAGGCTAGTAAGCTATATTCAGATTTTATAAATAGTCTAGTCCTCTAATATCAGTTTGCCTTTTCGGTTCGCAACAAATTGCTCCTCAACCGACACTAGCTCATTTTCCCACAGCTCCTGCTGCTTCTTCGATGTGAAATGATGCGCATGTATCCAGTCAGGCGCTGAAACACACCCTAGCAGTCAGACACTGCAGTTCATAGGAACGTGAATTCTTGAATGAACGTAGCCTATTTACATATCCTGTTAATCAGTCAAGAAGCTAGCCTATTGAGAGAACAGTCTAAAAAAATCTTGGCGGGAAAAAGTTTGTTAAAGTCACCATGAAATCAAAATATACATTTTTTGTTTTTAATGGAATATTGCAGTTATTATAAATAAATACTTATCCATGCACATCACTATTTTTTAATTCATCATATTGCTCATACAAAATAATTTCCCCTGCCTCTAAAATCCATAAGACTTTTGTTCAACTCTGGAACACAAATGAAGATCTTTTTGATGAAATCTAAGAGCTTTCTGTCCCCCACAGCTACACAACTGATATTTTGACGCTTCAAAAGGTTCATAAAGAGATCCTAAAACTAATCCATATGAATTGAGTGGTTTGTATTATGGACAGATTGAATTTGAGTGAGCAAGTAATGACAGAATTAAAACTTTAAAGAGCCTGACTCCACCCACTAGCAATATTTGAAAAATGCTGAAAAAATGGGCAGACCCCAGCGGGGCCAGGGGGCGTGCACCTGAGACCCGCTGTGAGTGAGAGCTGCTGTCAGACTCTAAAATAGAGCGAGACTGGAGTGACGCAAGTAACTGCCTTTGCAACAGAGCGGCCATTTGAAGTCGAGGACTTTTCTCCCTCACCTTCACCTGAAGTGGATGAGGGTGAATTGTATGTAGACACAGGGCCAAATCCATTCGAGCCGCTGGCTCAAACTGCGGTCTTAACTCCCGCATCGCGACCGGCATCTGATGAGTTTTGTCGTCGAGTTGATCTCAATAGCGCACGCTCTGTGGGCATGTATTCATATTGATATTCTGCCGCTATGTGAAAATTGATATTCTGCCGTATTTTGCTGTCAAAATCCAGCAAAATGCACCGGCTCGTTTGTCGACCCCAGAGGATTAACTTTATCCTAACCATAAATTGTGATTAAAATATCCATGATCACTCACATCAAGACGCCGCTGCGGTGGAGGAGTACATGCAGGACGAGCAGTGTTTGGCACTGCGTGTGGAGCTGTGTGGAGAAGCCCATGTCCACCTCTATTCCGTCACTATCCTGATCACTGTACTAAACTAATATATGATATCCTGATCGTTTTCAATACTCATAAATCCAACTCCTGACTCGCTACAGTAGTTTTGACGGAACCAGATGCTTTTTTAATACCAGGGGCTGCCAAGGGCGTGGTGAGCTCGCACCAAGGGTGTGACAGAGTCGCGTCTGAGAGTTCGCTACGTCAGCAAGTACCCCTACTGCAGGAGCTTTCCGTTTAACCTGAAGAGGGCAGCACTCAGACGTTTTTACACCATATATTTGAAAATCAAAACACTTTATACTCAATTGTCAAAAAATGTACTCGAATCAATGAACAGCATTTATGAGGCTCCATTCTTACAGATCATTAACTAAAAAAAGTTGTTTTGGTGTTTAGTTACCCTTTAAATTTGATGTGACATACAGTAGGTAGACTAGATGTGCTGCCACACTCTTACCTGCAAAAGCTTAGTCATGCTGGTTGGAAGGCCCGCCAATAAAGCATTGCAGTATCCAGCCTTGAAATTACAAGTGCTTGGACTAGTATACTAAATGGAAGGGTCTGATTTTCCTAGTCTGCAAGCCACAACCAGGATGTTGTTAAGATGTGGGTGGAAAAGCTCAGCTGGTTGTCAAATACCCCCAGGTTCCATTCTGTCCTAGATCGCACCAATAGCAAATGACAACAATCCAATGATCCAATCAATTCCTCATGGACAAAATCAAGTTCTGCCTGAGAATGTTTCTAGTTCAAGAAGCCATTTAATAGGGAAGAAAATACTATATCGCAACTTCAGTTTCAAGCCGACTTTAAGGAAATATGCTGATAACACAACCACATCACAGAGACGTCTATTTGATGTGTATTTACATTTGGAAGAGTGTTTGCTCATCTACAGTACATGTTTCCTTTCAGATGTCAAATAGACATTTAGAAAATGTCTTTAAGATGTTAATGATTTAGAATGTATGTTAAACCAACACAGTCTCATGAAGATGCGTATCTATACCACGAGTGTCATTTCTCGTGGCATTTATACGCCAAAAGTGTTTTTTTCGTGTATATGGTACGCACTAAAAAACCCTGGGTTAGGTTTAGGGGGGAGGGGGGTGGGGAGTTTGTGCGTATTATACGCAAAAAAGTGCGTATCATTTGTACGCGAAAATTGCGTGCCATATACACGCAAAAACTGTTTTTGGCATATAAATGCCACGAGAAATGACATTCGTGCCATAGATACGAACTTTCATGAGATCGGGCTGCAGTCTATCAGATAAGCAGCAGATGCTTTCCAGATGAAGTGATCTTTAACAGACATCTTGCAGATATATGTGTGCTATTGGATTAATGCTCAACATGTTCAAAGGTATTTGCATATGCCTGGATGCAATCTTACTTCTTCCATTTTCTAAGAAATTAGTGTTTATACTTGCCTGTCACTCATTATGGGTCAATCAAATATTGATATCTCAAATATCAAAAATTTATTATAATTTGAAAAATCTAGCATTCTCCTTGAGTCAAACATTTTAAACTGATTTTCAGATCAATTACCCCCATTGTTAAGGCTCCCTATTCCTAAACCCCACTAGTAACCCTAAACCTGACCATAGGCTGCGTTTCCCAAAAGAACCATAAGCCTAAGTAGATTGTAGAACCATTGATGGACAAAGCATATGGTCACAATGCTTTTAGGCAGTGTAGCCCTGGGAGTAATCTGGTGTTTGCTGTGTAGGCAAAGATTGTGTATGCCCTCATATACCCATTTGTTTTGCTGTTTCAGAATAGCTTCCCGATTAACTGTAGGCCTATCCCAACTGTATCTAATGCCGCGTTCCAGGCAACCTGTAACTCGTGTTTTTCCAAACTTATACCCGTGAAAGTGCACTGGAACGGCAGTCAAACCCGTGACTTCCCACCCGTGAACTCGTACTAGAACGATGTACTCCCAGTTACGAGTTCTGACGTCACATAGCCCGCTAACATATACAAAACTACAATGACAGGCCCTACGGATGCAGTGTTTCTCCAGGCGGTACTCGGTGAGAAAGAATACACTTTAGGACAATATAACGTTAACTAGTTTTCAGTCCATTGAGTGCAAGGATAAATTATACATTTCCAAATATACAAATAAAGTAAAATAAAAGGTATAACAGCTTATCTTGCCGCATGCACTATTTTTCCTCCTCAGTTTCCCACAAATAAACAAGGAGTAAGCACCTTTGGCGTTAGAAATTATTACAAATGCGCGTGAGCCCCCGTAAGGTCCGCCATGCTGGTTTGTTTACATCTAGGTAGTTTGGCGTGAATGACCTGGAATGCTACAAAGTCATAAGTCGTGGTTTGAAGTCGTGATTTACGTGCTCAAAAACCTTCCTGGAACGCAGCATAATTCTTTGTAGTGCCCGGTGCATTATCACTTGAATTCTACCATTCCCTGTCAACTGAAGCGACCAGTATCATTGACTGAGGGACCACGATCATTGGACTGGAGAAATTCAAAGTTAACTCCTAAAATTCCAATAACAATGAATAACTTTTGCAAAGTCTAATTTAAATTTGAAAGTGCAAGTATTTTCCTTTTAAGAAAGAAGTTCTCAGAGATTTTCTTTACTGAAGCAGGTGGCCAGCATTGGAAGCTGCATATAGCAAAGATTTGTAGGCTCTGTGCACATTTCAATGCTCTAATCCGGCCATTAAGGGAATGTGAGACTTAATTGAATCTCCCCTTACTGAGTGCCGAAATTCAAACCCCCTCAGGAACTGTATGCAGACCTTTCCTGTCAGACGGGAATGCAGGAGGGCTTTTAGTCTTGTGAATATTATTGTCTAAAAGGAGGTCTACATGTCTTGTTTTAAACATTGTGGGATTAATGATGATTCACATTAATGGGTTAACCACCAATTACAGAGATGTGTGTAAAGTAAATGGGTAAAAGAAAGATATCACCGAACTGCATGACCCACAGTAACCAAAAAAACAAACAAAAAAAAAGATTTCTTTGGAAAAGTTCTATGTTTAGAACTCAAATGAAGCTGAATACAATGTTCGAATTGGTAGATGCAATAATCCTAATTTTCATATTAAAAGGCTTGTGTGGTCTGAAGGAGGAGCCTGGAGGAGCTTCAGGATATTTTTTTATAATACTGGCCAAAACAACATAGCCATAAAGCTATGAAGCTCTATAAAAGTGGTTGCCTTGCAGCAAGAAGGTCCCTGGTTCAGGGCTAACATAGAAGGCCTACCGGTATCTACTGTGGATTGCTCAGACTGAGTGAAAAATCATTATCAAGCCAAACCATAGAAATATACTTTTCATTCAGTTTGTTCATGCCGAATACACCAATTTAGAATCATAATTTAGCTACAGTTGTCTTTTTGTGGGTAGACATGCTCACATTAGAGTGGAGGGTGATAAACACCCCAAAATTGAAGAATTTATTTAAAGAAGTTGTCAAAAAGATGTGACAAGATATGGGATAAAGTAAAAAGGGGTGTCTAGCCCCTTTAAAAAAAATGTGAAAGAGCACTTTATGGCAGTACATACATGAATATAGCATACAGCCTCTGCTCTCAATAAATTAATTAATTTATATAATAAGAAAGCGTGATTTCGGCGATTGTAATAAATGTGGACTTTTAGAAAATCTCCATGTGCTTATAAAATGTATAAGGCATAACAACGCTCCATCCCAATAGGTGGCGGAAATGCACCAACAGTTAGTTTCCCAACCGCTATTAGGCCTAGAAGAAGAAGACACGCTACTGCAGTGAATAAGCATTTTAGTTCATTCGTCGGAGTTTTAAGACGTCACTGTGTGCTCAATATTTACTTTCCAAGAAAAATATTTTTGATTATACAGCGTCCACCAACCGAAAAGTTCATTTTATGGTACAGAAACAATGATGAAGATCTTTCTGGAGGGCGTGGAAAAGTTTGTTGTTATCACGTGATAGACCTCTAATGTTTGATAAACTATTTCTTTTTTAACCTCCAGTTTGGTTTTGACGTTTAAAGGTTATTTTCAAAGAATGCCTCAACCTAAATACAGAAAGATTGCTGTATTGGGGTATCGTTCAGTTGGTAAGTGTTTGATACAATTTTGTTGAGTAGGAAGTATTTGATGATATGTGTAGTCGTTAAGTTAGCAGAGTCCTTACAGTTATTTCATTACATTTCATTTGAGCTGTTTACTGGTTTCCAGCCACTTTAAGTTTTATGTATTTACAAATTTACGTATTCATTTAGATGCTGTCAACACGCTTCTAAACGCGCAGCAGCATTTGGCGACATAATGGAAAAACGCATGGTGCTGGCAAGAATTAGCAACGTGCTTCCTCAGTCAGATCACGCGCGATATGCCGACCAATTCTCGAATATCATCAATCGGGCAATTGTAATAACATGAAGGCATGCCGTAATATTGATCTGTAACGCGATGCACTTCCTTTTTAACCAATTATTCGATTAGCTAAAAGATATCGCTTTCCGTTCCACCTTAAATGACCTCACGCTACGTGTCGATGTAAATGGCGCTGTGTCCATAAAGGGATTTAAATCGCTCATTCTCGGTCATTTTCAAGGGTACGTAAAAACACTGTGAAATGGTAAACACTAAACAGTGTAGTGCCCTATCACGTTTTTGGGCTAATACAGAAAGAGTACCCGAATATCACTGTCACGTTTTGAATGGTCTTGTGAAATTGACATGTAACGTTACGATAACAAAGATTAAGCTTTCCTGTTGCATCTTCTCTTGGCAATTTGAGTCTGCGTTTCTCCGTCAAACTTTGAATAATTGTTACGGTACCATTCTGTTTTAATGAGCCTATAAACTTTACATTTGAGATAGTATGAACGAACCAAGGTTTATTTTAGTATCTCCCCGTGTGGATAATTTTCAAGGGTGCGTGTAATACAGTATGAGGGCTGTTACAAAAATGCCAAATTTGAAGAATTATTACAGTGCCATCTCAGAAATCAACATTTCGAAATCAAATGGTTCTAACAATACTGTAAATGTAGATATTTAAAACCACCTTACATGAGATAAATTTGTGTTTATTTTAGCCGTGTTCGGTTTTATGTGGAAACTGTGTATTTGTAGATAAATATCGACTATGCATAGCATAGATCTTATCTTGCACGCCCGTCGACCGGTGAAATCTTGTATATTTGATGTATTGCCTTTTGAAGTGGCTTGTCTTGTGTTGTCGTTTGCAGATTGGTGCCATTAGGTCTGCGAGTTGAGATTAAAGAGATGGGAATTGCAAATACAGTGTTACATGGCAGTAGTTGTATTATGAATAGGGGAAAGCTGCTGAATGTTGCTCAAATGTAATCGATATCGATATTATTATAATTTTGTACTTTGTTTGTTCATTGCGTTTTGAAAAGTGGAATGTGAAGCGCGAATATTGTAACCTATACTTGGAATTTGTCCTCTGTATTTAACCCATCCAAGTTAGTGAACAGACATCCGGAGCAGTGGGCTGCCATTTTTTGCTGTGGCACCTGGGGAGAAATTGGGGGTTAGGTGCCTTGCTCAAGGGCAATTCAATCATTGCCAGCAGTCTTCGGATTACCAGTTTGACTCTCTAACCATTAGGCCACCACTGCCCAACCCTCCATCTATTTACACATATGTGAAGTTCATGGGTTCATTTAAAACGGTACGCTAAAACTTTCAGAAGAAATTGGGCGGAAGGAACAATGAAATGGCAAATTATTTTTTACTATCCCATATTGTATGTTGACTTAAAGGATTAGTTCACCCAAAAATGAAAATTCTGTCAGTATTTACTCACCCTCATGTTGTTCCAACCCTGTAAGACCTTTGTTCATCTTCGGAACACAAATTAAGATATTAAGATCACTCCTGCATACTAGTCCATAGGCTTCTTGAGGGAATGACTTTCTGTCCTCGAAAAGTTATTAAACACATCGTTAAAATTGTCCAAGTGACTACAGGGGCTCAATCTGAAGTTTATCAAACGACGAGAACACTTTTGTGCGCAAAAATAACGACTTTATTTCAACTATTCGTTTATTTCTCCCTCTGCGCGAGTCAGGTTACTAGTTTAATAGCGTAAGCTTCTGTTATTGTACGTCACACGCATCACACACATGACCAGCGTCAGCCAATAGTGAGCCTACGTGTGACGTAGCTTTACGCAATCACACTACGTTAACTGACTACAGGCCCATGGAGAAAGAAGTGAATAGTTGAAATAAAGTCGTTATTTTTGTTTGTTTTTGCGCACAATAAGTATTCTCGTCGTTTGATAGTTAAAATTGAGCCACTGTATTCACTTGGACTATTTTAACGATGTCTTTGATGACTTTTCGATGCCAGCAAGAGTCATTCCCTCAAGATATGGACTAGTATGCAGGAGTGATCTTAATATCTTAAACATCTTAATTTGTGTTCCGAAGTTGAACAAAGGTCTTACGGGGTTGGAACAACATGAGGGTGAGTAAATACTGACAGAATTTTCATTTTTGGGTGAACTAACCCTTTAATGGAATCATACAAAATTGGTATTCGCTTTATGCATTAGGCTGTGTATCAAGCCAGTGTCATATTTAACGCACCCTTGAAAATGACTGAGAAACTTTAACCCCGAATTGGGCAGAGGTTGCAATAGGATGACACATTCCGTATCATCTGTATTTATGAAGTTCATGGGTCCATTAAAAAAAAAAAAGATAAGAAAAAGATTGCTCTGCCTCTGACAGTATCAGTACATTTACATGTGTTGATGGCATACTCTTCACCTGCCTATTCATAATGTGTCTTGATCAGTAAGCAGCTTTCTCAACATGTTTCAATTACTTTAGTTATCAATTCTTTCCATTATAATAAAATAATAATAATATTTAATGTCATTCAACACCCTCAGCTGTCACTGTTTATTTTTAACATTACTTTGAGATAATCATTTTTTATTTATTTTACAACAGGAAAATCCTCCCTCACGATACAGTTTGTAGAAGGACAATTTGTAGATTCCTACGACCCTACTATTGAAAACAGTGAGTACTGAAATACTTTGACCTACCATAGTACTTATATTATTTATGCATTCCATTTTGTAGCTAGCAACTAGTAAATCCTAGTTTTAAGATCATTTTATAATGTAGAAGCATCAAAGACAGTATTGCACAAAAGTATGGGCTGTGGGTTATAGGCTGGTTCTGGCCAGTGTGGTGCCTTGGGCACAATCATTCAGTGAATCATGGGCACTAATGTGGGATAAAGGATGTGAAATAAACCCTGTCCTTTAGTCTGTAGAACTATATATTATAACCAGGTTTGTTTATTATTAGTAGTAATTTGTATTTTTATCGTTTTGCTTGTTTCTTTTGCCTTTTAGTTTATTTTAATGTTTAGGCAAGTTTAATGTGCATTTCATCATGTTATAAGTTCAAATTAATTAATCATTAACAAACATTGTTACATTTTGCTTTATAGATCGTTGGTTATTTTCAAATACTAATTGATTTCAAGAAATTTAAATAAAAAGGAGTAAACTAAATTGTGATATTAGTGTATTTCATCAAGTGATTAGTAATGGTTGCTATTGTTTAGTGACACCTGTCAGCTTAAATTATGAAATATCATGTATGTGTTTCCATAATTTATTATATAGTAATAATTTTATGCCTGCTTGTGTGTTCTCAGTATGGTGACTGAATTGTGGAAATTCATACAGCTACATGACATTTGGTCCCCTTTGTCCCCAATTTAAAATCTTTTTGTTTGTCTTTAAGCTTTTAATAAAATGGTGTCTGTGAATGGCCAGGATTTCAATCTCCAGTTAGTTGACACTGCTGGACAGGTAAGACCCACTACAATTTTTCTATTTAAATCTTTTTCTTTTTTCATCATTTTTCATACCAGTTGTTCCCTTCCCCTTTTCTGTTTAGGATGAGTATTCCATTTTCCCCCAGTCTCATTCTATGGATATTCATGGTTACGTTCTGGTGTACTCTGTCACTTCAATGAAAAGGTCAGAGTTTTTTTTTTTTTTTTTCTTACTTGCATTGTTATTATTCTTTTATGTTTTGTTTTTGTTTTGTTTTCTTTAGTCATACAACTGGAATGTTTAAAGGTTTGGTCTCTTCTGACTATTTCATTTTCTTAAAGTGTAAATTACAGGTTAACCACCACAACCAATTAATGTGTAAATTAAAGTGCACAATATTTATATATTTAAACATAAACGCGGGCGGAAACATAGACATAATAAATGCATAGATGCCCTATTGGCCGCTTTGGAACATTGCTGTGATACGTCAACGCGTCTGCCATTTTGCGGAGGGCAAGACTGCACTGTAATCAAATGCAAGTAAACTGTTTTTCTGGATAAAAACAAAAAATAAATTACATTTATCAACTGATTTCAGTGGTTTTGTTCGTGGTGTATAAAAAATACTGTCTCTAGTTATTTAAAATCTTGATAGTTAGACTTGTGAAACATATTTTTATTAAGGAAATGTCGAAGCTCAGGCTTGTCATTTAGGCATCTGGCATTTTATTCTTGTAAAAGAATTGTGAAGATATAATTAAATTTTTACATTAAATTTAAATAAAGTTTTCTTATCGTGGAAAAAGCATTTTCTGTGATTGAAACGATTTTAGCAATAACAAATATAATGGATCCTTTATGGTAATGCATATGATATGGTACAACTACAGTGCAATGCAAATAGTAGATATAAGATAAAGTGAGAAGTAATGGTAAACAGTTTAGTCAATAAAATAAACAAACAGTAGGCCCTATACAGCAAATAAAATAGTAATAATTATATAAAAGTACATAATATAATAATACAAATATTGATAATAGCATATAGTTATGAATAGTACAATCGTTTAACAGCATAGCTGTAATAGATTGATAATTGTAAGTGGTATAATATTACAATAATAATAAGAACAGCAAATACAATGTAATATCAATTGCAGAATATAAGCAATTATGAAAAAAATATATGAAACATTACAATATTGATTATTAAACTGACATTAAACAAAAAGATTTGTGTAATTTTATTTTATAATGGCCTACATACAGTGAAGGGAATTAAATAATTTATATATTTTAAAATATTCCCTCATAGGCTATATAAAATAAAATGTCACAACCTTGTCTCTTTTTGTGAGACCAAAGATTGCCAGTTAGATATACACAAGAAGAATGTTTAACCACTAGAGTATAGACATCAGAACCAGCGGCAAGCATCAGAAGGACTAGCCGAGGTAAGGCTGTTTCAGGCGGGGTGCAGAGCGCTGAGCGCCCGGTGAACGCAGCTCTCACAACTCCGAAAACGTCAGATCAAATTTTTAAAATAGGAGCTATCTTTATAAATAATCCACAGATTTTTGCTTTAAAAAACTACATTGTTGACTGAAAAACTATTAAAACTACATTTCGTGACACAATAACAGTAGTATTTTTAAATTCCGCGACTTTTCTCTTCTGAACATTAATATTACTAATTATATCATGCCCAAATACAACTTGTGTCTTGCTTGTGAAAGATGATTTCTCGAGACCAGTTTTCAATTGTGAAGCAATTTGTACAGCCCCAAGCAGCACACGAAACAGGCATTTTTCTCAATTCTTGTTATGAGAAGTATGAGAAAGTTGTCCTCCGCAATATGGTGGTGCCGTTGACGTACGCTCCAGCTGCCAATAGGGCATCTATGTATTTATCGTCTGTGTGCGGGAATGCACTCACTCTGTGTTCGGGTTGAGGGAGAATAAAACGATTCGCGGGACTCCCGCAAAATAGAAATCTATGAATAAAACATAAAAACTAACTAATACTTTATTCATGCTTTTCTGCAATGGATGAATAAAAATGTATTATTATTTTTTTGTTTTTTTAAGGTCAACTAAAACAAAATAGAAATGATTTACAGGCCAGAGTTTCTATTAATAACCTGTTTGCAGCATTGATCGATGTAGCCAATCGCAGACATATGTGTTGATTTCTAGGAACGCAATGACCAATCAGAAACATTTACGATACACTCCCCTCACCACACAACTGACTTTTTGTTCAGTGATGAATTCTGTATGCTGGCAAATCCTCGAATTATAACGAACAAGTGTATAATGAAAGATTCATTGATAATAACAGATGTGTGAGATTGCGATGAACTGATGTCAGCTTTTTAGGAATTATTATGGGAGCGAACTTTGCGTGCAGTCATGCCAAACCATGCATGACTAAGTTAGCCTGCTTGTTTTTATGTTAGAACAGTGTGGTTTGTGTGCTAATGCTTTAATAAGAAATAATTTATCAGGAGCAATTATGCTGATGTGTATGGTGGCGACACTTAGGCCAACTTGAATGTATTTGGAGGTACGGAAAATGCTGACATAAATGCTGCGGGCGGGAGAAAGTAACATAGAAAGTAGTTGAGAACGTAAGTTATAATAATGATCCACGTATTAAAATAATGTTCGTGTTTAAATTGGGCTCGGGCACATAATTACGGTTAATGTGTCGGGCCGGGCTGGGCTCGGACACAACATGCTCGGGTAGGGTCGAGCTTTCATTCCCGAGATCTACCTCGGGTATGCTAAACACTTACAGGCACGAATCAGTCGTTTGTCCTTCGGGAACTTGTGGAGCCTCTTTGCCATTTTTGATGTTTTAATACATCCCGCACAAACACAATAGTTAACCTTTTTTGCTACTTAGGTCTCCAATATAATTGATAGCCTTCTTGCTGTTTAGACTAACAGTAACTCTAAGCTTGGAGCTCCAGGCATAGACAGTTTCCCCTAGCCCTACCCCTTCGCCTTCCCCTTGACCCTTGAAACAGAGTGGCAATGCGTAGGGGTGAAAATATTCCCCTAAGAAATGGGACACCACTACGCCTCCGTTAAACGTCATTATAAGTCGTCGCCAGCGCCTACGTCACAGGAGATGCGCCGATGTTTATCACAACTTCCAAGATGCCGTCGACAGCTGCAGTTATCTCAGTCGCGTGGGTTACAGCTATTTTCTTGCATTTATCTTGTGAAGTTCGCAGGAAACAACGGAGACGACGAAAATATGTTGCAGGACTATCGTTAGCAAACTACAGTAATTTTAGCGATTTTTTTTTTTTTTTTTTTTTTTTTTTTTTTTTTTTTTTTACAAACGTTTCTGTGAAGAAACTGACCGTAAATATGAACACAATGGGCCAATCCCAATTCTACCCCTTACCCCTTCACTTTCCCCTTCCCCTCCGTTTTGTGCGTCCACGTGAAGGGGTAGGGTTGTCCCAATTCTCTTTTGGTTGGAGGGGGAGGGCTAGGGAGAAGGGCCAGATAGCCCTTCAAACGAAGATTTTTCGGGAGCACACTTCAAACGAAGGGGTGTGAGAAGTGTCACTGCTAACCCAGGCTGGCTGCCCAAGCAACAAAGGAGACCCATAAATTTAAGTATTTGTGGCTTTAATAAGTATTGTAACGACAAACAATGATTTGCTTTATGTTACATTCAATATTGTGTTCATATTTACGGTCAGTTTCTTCACAGAAACGTTTGTAAAAAAAATCGCTAAAATTACTGTAGTTTGCTAACGATAGTCCCGCAACATATTTCCGTCGTCTCCGTTGTTTCCTGCGAACTTCACAAGATAAATGCAAGAAAATAGCTGTAACCCACGCGACTGAGATAACTGCAGCTGTCGACGGCATCTTGGAAGTTGTGATAAACATCGGCGCATCTCCTGTGACGTAGGCGCTAGCGACGACTTATAATGACGTTTAACGGAGGCGTAGTGGTGTCCCATTTCTTAGGGGAATATTTTCACCCCTACGCATTGCCACTCTGTTTCAAGGGTCAAGGGGAAGGCGAAGGGGTAGGGCTAGGGGGAAGTGAAGGGGTAAGGGGTAGAATTGGGATTGGCCCAATATTGAATGTACCATAAAGCAAATCATTATTTGTCGTTACAATACTTATTAAAGCCACAAATACTTAAATTTATGTGTCTCCTTTGTCGCTTGGGCAGCCAGCCTGGGTTAGCAGTGACACTTCTCATACCCCTTCGTTTGAAGTGTGCTCCCGAAAAATCTTCGTTTGAAGGGCTATCTGGCCCTTCCCCCTAGCCCTCCCCCTCCAACCAAAAGAGAATTGGGACAACCCTACCCCTTCACATGGACGCGCAAAACGGAGGGGAAGGGGAAAGTGAAGGGGTAAGGGGTAGAATTGGGATTGGCCCTAAAAGCTTGAGTCCATTTTGTGACGTCACGCCCAGGCTAGTGGAAGGGAGGGGGCATGCTTAAAACCACCGTAAAACGTACCAACTTTTCATATTTTATGCAGCATTTTGGTATAAAAAAACAATCGTGGGTGGTTCTTATCTTTATGTTTAGTAAGCACATTATCTTTACATTTATCTTTGTAAAAAATTTAATCTGCAATTTACACTTTAAGTGACAGGTTATTAATGCAATTAAACAAACTTGCATGCTTATGTAATTGCTATTTTTATTTTTTTATTTTGTTCTTCATTCTTGGACTCATCAATATAGGCTACTTGTATGGACAAATGTGATGCATGCACTGATCTATATAATGACAATATATTGTGACATCTATAATGTCATTCTAAATACATCAGTGGATGCATGTGTAATATGACTGATCTGTGGTACTTTCATCCGGTTGTCATCTTTATGCTGTTTCAAACTCTGATATATATATATATATATATATATATATATATATATATATTGTCGTTTACAAATTCTTTGATCATTTAGTAAATGAACAGCTTTAGTCACCTACACTAGTTTCTTAAACACGAAACAAATAACACATAGTTTTGTTCAAATAACCTCTTTGATGCAAAAGTAGTGTGCATGATTTCAAGGCAGCTTACTTAAAACAACAAATACTAATTATTATTAAAATCAAACCCTCAAAGGCTAATAATGAATGACATCTCCAAACAATGGGAAAAACTTTTCCATTTTTAGTGCATTTAAAAATAAAAACATTTGAAATATGACAACATCTTTTTTGTTGTAACCACTGCAACTGCCACACCGTATACTAGACTATAGTATAAATATAACTGCCGAAAATTCTAATAGAATGCTGAAACCATGAACACTGGCTCTGTCAAGACCCCTTTTATTCTGGCATGGTTCTGGTGCAGGTTACTGACTCATGTTCAGGGCTGGAAAAATCGATTCCACTAATACCCAATGGCAGTCTCTGAGCAATGTAATAACATTGCAATGCATTACTCTGTAGGTCTTAATATGTTAAATTGCATGAGATAGAATGAATCTGCGGGTTCAGTTTCAGTCTCAAGCTAGTCCTTCAAGAGATTACTGACAGTTTACCGCCACATCTGCCGGTACACAAGAATGACTTCTGGTATAGTGATCAACATAATACAGAAGTGCTGCTTACACAAACACTGACGCATCATATTTGTTTTTGGACTGGTTATGTAGTCACATAAACGACACGTATATCAACTTTTATATCAGAAGTCTATGGAGAAACAGGGCTGGTTCTAGACTTTATTACTAGGCTTATTTTATTGTGTGTTTTTAAAGCAAAAATAAATAAATATCATATTGTATTAATATTTTGTATTTTTCAAAACCATTGTACTAATTTTCAATACCATTATACTAACACTAGTATTGGCTGAAGAAAAGAATCTGTATTTAACCTTATATTCTGATATGGGTTATTTTTCTTCTGATTGTAAGGGCCTAGATGCTTATTTTAATATTTTTCAGAGGCCAACAAAATGTGTACATAATTTGCTCTGTTTTCAGTTTTGAAGTTGTGCAGGTTCTACATGACAAGCTTCTTGATATGGTTGGAAAGATACAGTAAGTGTGGTTTAAACTCATGAACATATGGTCAAATATGGTCATAAAACATGTAGTCATAAATATTACATATTTACCCAGGGTACCTACTGTTCTAGTTGGGAACAAAAAAGATCTTCACATGGAAAGGTAAGCATAACTTTTTAACTATTCACCTTTAATGACCAAGCACTTAAATCCTATTATATTGCTTTTTTTATGGTGTTAGCTTATTTATTTTTAAATTTTGTAGAACTTTACATTTGTGTCAAACTTGGTAGAATAGTCTCAAATCCCACCACTTTTCAAACATACAGCCATCAGTCTTGACAGGTAGCGCTAAAGCCTTTGATGTTTTTGCAGTAAGACATACTGGATTCCAATATTACCCAGCCAGTCATATTACCTTCCGATCTGCAAACAGGGTTCCCACGCTTCTTGAAATTACTTTAATTTCAGACACATAGCATTCAAGGCCAGGAAAGTCTATGAAAACAAACACAGGTACTTAAGATTAAAGTGAAGATTAAACGTAAAGTAAAATTTGTTGGAGTAGAATGGTGCTATTACAAAAATTAGCCTTTATTGACTGCAAAAGCCGGAAAGGAAAGGGTAAGGAAAGGCAAATTTAATGACGCTTGGTTGGCTCAGTATTGAGCAATTAAAAAATTGGCTTATCAAAATGCCAATGAATAATGCCTAATAAAGTTGTGTTTATAAGTGCGGTGCTGCTTTGTTTACAGAAGTAACTGGGAAAAACAATATATTTCTGCTGTTCCAAAACTTCTAATCTACTGTCCAAATCTACTGTCAGATATTGAAACTACATTTTCATTCAGCACATCTCACATTTTTGTTCAAACCAATGCGAAGATCGCCCCATATTGCTCCATATTTTATGTATGTATGTATGTATATATATATATATAGAGAGAGAGAGAGAGAGATTATTATATTTAATATTTCAAATTAATATGTAGCTATAATCATTTTTAATTTTTTTTCTCATCCTTTTCCTTTAAAGACTGAAATGTTTTAGTTTTTTTATATAAATTCTTTGTTCTATATATATTTTTACAAAATTATTTCTTGTCAAAACTTGTATTATTTTTTGAACTGTTGTTGAAATCGTTGTTTTTTTTTACCTTCATTTTATTGTTTGGGATGTTCCCATAGACTCTAATCTTTGTGCAGGTGTTAAAAAAAGGAAAGCCTTAAAATAGATTAAAAAAAAAAAAATCTGCATATAACCTGTACTGGTGGTTAAAAAATAATTTTGAATATTTTAATGGATAACAATGACCTTATCCATATTATTTTTTTAATTGCAAAATATTATATATAATATTCTCCCTATATTTAAATGTTTTTAATCAAGTAATGGTTCATAAAAAAGAAAACTAAAACCAGTATGAAATAAATAGTAAAAGCAGGAATAAGAAAGGTAAACTGCATCTCTTGTTCACAAGTTCTTACATGTTTATCACATTTCAGACCACTAAATTGTCTTCCAGACTTTAAAACTTTTAGGTTTTCTACCATTTTGTGGTGGAAGGCAAACAATTTCCACTCTGTCATGCTCTCTTTTTTTGTTGTTTTAATTTAGAGTGATTAAACCAGAAGAGGGAAAGAAGCTAGCTGATTCTTGGGGTGCTGCTTTCATGGAGTCCTCTGCTAAGGAAAATCAGGTAACACCTTCTTTGTATCTTGAATAGGAACTTATGCTTGCCCACAGTTAGTTTAACAAAACATTTTCTTGATATGTTTCTGTAATAAGCCTATATTTGTTTTCTGTACAGTTTGGACCCTTGTGTATATGTTCTCCTTCTTAAAATAACTTTCATTTTGCAGACAGCAGTAGAGGTTTTCAAGAGGATTATTCTGGAAATGGAAAAGGTTGATGGAAACGCCCCATCAGAGGAGAAGAAGTGTGCAGTGATGTAAGGCATGCAGTAAACTCACATGCTGAAGTTAAAAGACACATCACCTTGCCTTTAACTATAACGAAGCAGTTCAGAAATAGGTCCTCTCCTGATTAATATCCAGATGCGTCAACGTTATTCCAAAAAATCATATTCAGTGTTGGGAATTAAATATTGATGCTATTTGAAGCTCAAATTACTGTAAAAGGTTTTACTTAAAATCTCCCATCTCTGTAACCTTCAGCTTTGATATGTTGACTGACATTTCATGTTTAATAATCTGACAGGTACTAACCTGTCTACAACTACTATCTCAGCAATACAGTTGGTCTCATTTTTATTTTATTTTTTGCTCTCCCTCTGACACACTTACTTATTTTACTTCTCTTGTATAACCAAAAGAAATAAAATGGGAAGATGATGTAAACAGAGCCCCAAAAAGATCTACTCAAGATGATGTAAACAGAACCCTAAAAAGATCTCTTGCCCACCACCGGTGGTTTTATACATAATCAAGTGACTGCAAGAATTGTATTCTTTCTAAACCTTCAGTATAAAGTAAATATGAGATCGTTAAAACTTTGTTAGAATGCTATTTGTGAGATTTAGCTATTTTATTTTATTTCTTTGCATTTTTGTTGGAATTGTTTTGCTTTGATCCAGAAATGAACTTGGTTACCCGTTTTATGGCATATAAAAGTCCTCATTAAATAAATATTTTTTTTGGGGGGGGGAGATAATGATGAACTTCATACAGACCATTTGCCGTTTGTGAGGACCAGTCAATTCATGATCAACAATTTCCCCCTGTGGTGTCTTATGAGCTTAATCACCAACAATATCTCTGTAGAGCAGTTAAGACTAATACACCGGTTACTAAAAAATGTTGTCAATGCATTTTTGATGTCTTTTGCATCACCCTCTCTTCTTCCTATTTAGTCATTTTTAGGTATATTAATAGTACCGTGACACGAATACCATCATGTAATTTCCTGACCCATATTACATGGAATTAGCATTACTGAAGTCCAAAAGGTCCTTTTAAGATCTGACCTCCTCATTTTCCTGTGAAGTTCAGGGTGCCAGGTTTTTCATTTTTATAATTTTGACAGCCTTCATTATAATTTTAGGGACTTCTGTATATGGAATTTTTGTATGTGGAAAAATAAAACATTTAAAGAATGTTTTCTGTTTATTTGTTGTTTTTCTGTTGCAACTATCTAGAGTTAGTTGGATCTCTCACATCAAAGTTGAAATAGCCAGTCAGGTATGCATTTACCATATGATGTTCATATTCATTTATTAGCCCTTATTGTGTGCTGATGTTGATTTGTTACTTATTGTTGTGTGTCGTATTTGTCTTATTATTACTTTTTAATGTTGTTATTATTTGTGGACTGTAAAAGTCATTTCTTGCTTTATATCTTGATTTTAGGTTGCCATCATAATAACTGGCCAGGGACAACAGATGAAAATTAGCCTGTTGAGCTAACTCTGGCTCATTTACAGTTATTTTACTGTTAATTAATGAGCACTGTCCCTGTAAAATAAACAAATAAATGAAATTAAATTATGTTAATTGCTGCCTAACCACCTTATTACAATGAATCGTTGGAGAATATGGTTTTGTTTTGAGTGTGGTTTTATTTTGTCATACTTCTGTTGTTCGATCCACACTGTGATGGAAGGGTTGCGGTCACCATCTTATGGTGATAGGCGGGAATTCATTCGGTGTGATGCTCACAGTGTTTGGGTATCTATAGCCACAATGGTATCCAGCTGGAGAACCGCAGCAGTTTCAGTCCAGCAACCACAGAGGAGTCAGAGGCAGAGCTTTTTATTATTATTAATTAAACTATTTTCACATGAAAATTGAGCGGATCGATTATCTACAAACTTTTTAAAAAAGTACCTGTACAATGATAAATATGTCAAACTAGTCAATTAATTATTCTACACAATCTATAGTTCATTGTTAGTTCAATGATATCCAAATATACAACTTTTATTTTAAATAAATGAATAGCTTATACTAAAATATGTTACCATATTGTAGTTTACCATTTGACTGTATTATGTGATATTACTTCCCGTGTTCATGTAGTTACAAATAATACTTATAGACAGGATGTGACATATAGCCTTGAGCAAGTAAATGGTGCATTTCTCTATATGAAAACCAATGATATAAAAAATATATAATATAAACAGCTATAATTTAAAAAAAAACCATGGAAACAAAAAAGAATTCAACTTAAAACACAAAAAAACTTAGATTTTAAGCTTTTCATTGCCTTTCTGCATGTGATTAAATTAACATCTGTGAAAATTGCTGTAATTTGCAAGAGACAACTGCGCTGTAGCGAAGGTCGAGGAGACAACTGCACTGTACCGGAGGTCGAGGAGACCCTTCTGCAGCCGGCATCCCGTAATGACATGGGTGTGGGGGGGAGGGGAGCAAGCGGTGGGGGCAGAGCAGGAGGCCTTCCGAGTCTTGGGGCTGGACCAGGTCCAAGTGAGCCGGTTTAAGGTGGTCAATGGAGATTTGGTCCGGTTTGCCACCCCTGTCCGCCACAAAATGTACATCCCCCGTCTCCAAAACCCAGAATGGGCCCTCGTAGGGCGGGCATAGCGGTCCCCTGTGGGCATCATGGCAAATGAAAACATAGTCAGCTGTCTGAAGACCAGCAGGAATGTGAGACTGCGGGAGGCCGTGACAGGAAGTAGGGACAGGTGCGGAAAGCCTCGCATTGTCTAGTAGAGTAGACCACTGAAGAGTAGCGGACCAGGGAACCATGGTGCTAGGGAAAAACCCTGGCACCCGTAGCAGCTGTTCATAAACAAGCTCCGTGGATGAGAACTGAAGGTCCTCCTTTGGTGCAGTCCTGATGCCCAACATCACTCACGGGATCTTGTCGACCCAATTGTTGTCTTTAAGGCTGGCAAGCAGGGCAGCCTTCATCGACCTATGAAAACGTTCACAGAGTCCGTTAGCCTGCGGATGATATGCAGTCGTGCAGTGGAGTTTCACTCCTAAGGCTCTGTGCGACAGAATCCCACAGCTTAGACGTGAACCGCATGCCTTGGTCAGAAGATATGTCCGAAGGGGGTGCCGAAACGGGCAACCCAGGTGCCAATAAATGGCCATGTCGACAGACGCCACTGACATCAGTGGCACAGCCCCTGGCCATTGGGTGGTCCTGTCAACCAGGGTTAAAAGAAGTGTGAAACCGCGAGAGAAGGGCAGAGGACCGGCCAGTTCCAAGTTTACATAGTCAAAACATCTCTCCGGAACCAGGAACTTCTCTAGCCAGGCTTTAGTGTGGTAGTGTACTTTGGCACTCAACACAGATGTTAACCCATTCCCTAACATCCTTCTTGAGGCCGTGCCAAACAAACTTTGCTGCAACAAGTCTCTGTGATGCTTTGAAACATGGGTGGGAGAGACCATGTATGGCATCAAGACCTTGTTGTTTCCATCCCGAGGGAACAACCGGCCGAAGACTACCTGTGGAGATGTCACACAGCAGCACGGTGACGGCATCGTCAAAAACCACGTCCTCAATCTGCAGCCCTGTAGTCAAGGTCTTCAGGAGTTGCACATCCAGGTCTGTTGTCTGAAGCCCCGTTCACACCGCCAGCGACACGCAGTGACAAAGTGACAAGATCCCATTCATTTCAATGGAGCGCTGGTGACATCCAGCGACATGAGCGACAGTGAGCGTTGGCGACAGAATGTGGGCGTGTCAAGCGACAAAAGTTGAGAATTTTCAACTTTATGCAAATGATAAGCGATTTTCGCGAGCGACAACCAATAGGAAAGAAGACTTTCAGTGGAGCTCACGTCACCGTCTTGAGTGCAGGCAAGACAGAAAGAGTTTGAGGACGATTTCACTGTTTTATGATTTGACTGTAACCACATGCATGGATAATAAAACTATGCATAGAAAAGAAACTGTCGACAGTCTCAGAGAGTTTAATTCATACATTTAACGTTATAGTTCGACTGTTGTAATTTTATGATGCACGTTTAGCACTGCTGCAGTTCATTTTACAACTTCCCCTGCATTACATTGACTATTAGGCACAAGAAAATGGATTATTTGTCAAATTCGAATGACGTTGTAATAATTTATGTCAGTATGAGTGAGTTTAATTTGTTCATTGATCGATCGTTGATCTATTAAATGATTTAATCCACTGAACACTTCTGTGGTAATATAAAAACACTCTCCCAACAGCATACGGTTTCTTTTTAGCCTTAAAAGTCATTTATTTCCAGTCAAATTAAAATTATATAGTTGTTGTGATGGTCTTTTATATAGATATGGCCAGACGTGCAGTCTACCAATAACATCAGAGCGACAGCACTAAGAACGCCCAAAAGAGACATCACAGTACAGAGCCTAGTGACACACAGCGACAAAGTCGCTGGTGGTGTGAACGGGCCTTGAGTCGCCGCCATGTGGTTGTAATCCAGACCAAGATAGACTGCCCCTGCCACAGCCCGTGATAGGCAGTCCGCCATGCAGTTGTTCTTACTGGCAACGTGCTGCAAGTGTGTGGTAAACTCTGAAATGTAGGATAGATGCCGTTGCTGGAGGGGGACCATGGCTCAGCCACCTTGGCCATGGCTAAAGTCAGTGGCTCGTAGGTAGAAGCCCAGCAGCTCTCGGTCGAAAGTGCTGTACTTCCGCTCACAGGGACGCAGCTGACGACTAAAGAAAGCCAGCAGCTGTCAGGCCCCGCCTACTGTCGTTTGAACCTTTCTGGATCCGCCATCAAATTGATAAGTTTAATTATATCAAGTGCTGTGAGAAAAGGCTATAAATCTCTACCTCCAGCATCTTCACTCGCAATATAGCCTACTAGCCAAGACTCCTCAAAGTGTACAGATGTGACATAATGACTTAAAGACTTGCTAGAATCTCCCGCAGAAATTCACCAGTACCACTGGAATTAAAAATATTATAAGCTTATCGTTTTGAATCAAGCTAAGGCAAGCAGATAGTTTTGAACATAGTTTTGGCTGGTTATGTATTTTCTCAAATATGTATTTTGGATCATTTTTAACTAAAAAAAACTACGGACTGCAGCTTTAAGTTTTCCCGGAACATACAATGACGTCACTAAACAGTGACAGCACAACTGTAAGAACATCATTCACAAGTTGATCAGTGATGTTCTCTCACAGATGAGGTCATTGCCTTTTCCACTACACTAATTTCCAATTCTGACTGATTTAACTATCCTAAACTTATTAGCAGTTGAATCTGTTCAACAGCCCTTAAAATGCCAGAGGGAAATGCTGGTATCGCCATATTTTTTAAATTTCTGTACCAACTTGTACCGAAATGACTTGTACTTGACAAAACTAATGCTTACCGTCTTCAATGAAACAGGACATACAGCAAAATATCAACAGTTACTATATAATATATTTAAATGGATGATTCATAATATATTTAAAAATGGTCTGAATTATAAAGTTATCATTACTGAAACAGAATTTCCCTTTCAAGGTAGGTTTCTCGACAATGCCTTGTTAGCTGAAGCTTTGGGGAAACTTCTTTCTTCGGAAATGCTGAAGCCTGACTAAATCACGCTATAGGCTTTATGTCGAGCGTCACGTGACCAAACCGGAAAACAGGTCTCATCGCATCCGCTTGTCAGAGAAAGTGTTTACGGCCGTAAGACCTGACTACGATATCTATGGATTTTTAAGGTAATCAGCTAACCTAGTTCACTTTGTTATTGGCGTTTTATTCCATTTAAATATCTAAAAGTTACTGTGAAGAAGAAAAAATATAAAACGTTTAAAAATCAATCTGCACATGTGAGGGACATTGGTTATGCTAATCTTTGCTCGCTCCATTTAAGTTATCTTGAGTAAAACCGCAAAAAATTTCATGAAGCACATACAAAAGACCTGGACCGGAAGCGATCCGACCTGTTTCACAGAATGCAGAAGTAAAATGTGCATAGAGCCTATTTCAATAGCGGTAACGCTTCCTTTTACAATCCAGTTACCCATGTAAATACTATATACTTATTTTAGTAACTACAATTACTGGGTAATAACTAGTACTAACCCTGAACCTACCCCTGTTCCATGTACTTACCTTATATTAGCCAGTACTTTCTAGGTAAGTACACTGTAAGTACTGTACTGTAAAAGGAAGTG